TAACAACCTAGGTTTTGGTTAATGTTGTCACTTCTGCGACGTGATATATTCAGTTCTAAACTTAGTCTTATTAACATTTCAATTTATAAACCGAACGAAAATGCTTATGTTACAAATCTTGGTTCTTCGGGAGATTTCTTCATTTCAAATTTTATCAACGGAGAAATTCCGAGGAAAACTCTCTTCATTGCACGCAGAGCGACTTTGATTTTGTGGGACATCCATATCGTCAGTGTCAAAGCTTAGGCACCTGAAGTGACTATAGCCAGGACAGACTGGTTGAAGACACGACAGATGCTTCATAATATTTCTCAATAAACAAGTCCCGCGGAAATATGCAAACTAAAATGTAAACTATGGTATATGACAACAAATATCAAATATAGTGTAGTCTACACGATAGTGAGACTGCGGCTTAGGTAGTTCTTTCGTGTTAAATATACTGATTAAATAATAATTTATACCCGCGACGTCAACAAAATAAGTTTTGTTATAATAACAAACAAATACAGAGTAATGTTTAATGTCATAATATTTCCATAACGTACTTGTACATTTTATTTAAATATAGCATGGGCTTCACAATGGTCGATTGGAGCTATTGTGCTAGCATCTCTGTTAGGCCACACGAAGTGTGTCATTGAATCAATCGTTGCCTAGTCGCGAGATTGTTGTATCTGGAACCACTTCACGTTCCCACGATGTTTCTGTGTAAACGCTCACTTGCTACACACTTGAAAGAAATCATTGTTAAATACTTATATTTATTACGTTTATTTCTTAAATCTTCAAAAGTCGTTGAAATGAAAATACACCGATGTGTTTATTTTCCTTTGACGAATTATTCGAGTGCGTGTTTGATATACGTAATTTTATAATTTTTGATAAACGTTCCGTTGTGTGAATCTCTATTCTTCAAGCGAGCAATTCTAGTATATAATATTATGTGTATTTATATATAATATATGTAATTGGTATCTCGGAAACGTCTCCAACGATGTGGATGATATTTTATATTTAAAATGTTTTACTTTTAATTTTATTTTGGTACAAAAATTATATCTTGTTTTCGTCCAGTCATTTATGTATAATATTTTATATCTCTTGGGATTTGGGCTCCCCCAGACCAGACCATGATTTAAATACTGCGCAAATTCTATTTTAGGCTCTCGTATCAGGAGTACCTCGTATGAAATCCTGGGGTCTTATCGGAGGTGGTCTAACTAAGCGGACTAACTAAATGTCACGAATATGAGTATCTGAGTGATGACCATTGACTACATAATATTTGTGCCATTTGCAGTAGGGAATATCGCTCAGTGGATCACGTGTGTTGAAATTTCTGAAGGAACTGAATCCGCAAATAATTAAATGGTGTGATTTTTTCTGCCCCAAAGGGAAACTCTTCAGCGAGGAAATGCAGCTAACGTTGTTGGCAATCACTATGATATTTTAATTTTTTACTTTATTCATGTGTATTTTTAAACGTCAAATTCAGTTAAAAACTTTTGTAGTTTTGATACTGCGACTCATGAATACAGACAGACGAAGCAAATTTTACTAAGCCTTTGCTTTGACGATAAATAGAAACATAAAGATACAACTTTATCCAAAAAACAAACCCAGCAATAATTACTTTTTACTCAAATATTAGCTGAATATCAAACATTCGAAATAGAATGAAACGAAGCCAATAGAAGTAATAAACAGTAATAAACCCAGTAGTCATATACCACGGCAATAGACACGGCCCATTGTGTATGTAGATATGGGAACTAGTTTTCATTTCCATCTACAGTATTTTGATTTAATTTTTAATTGGCGTTTAAAATGGAACACAAATTAAACCTGCCGAATGTTGTGCTTAAAATGTTTATCACAGGAATTGTGATTCGATCGATAGCTTAATCGAATTAGCCTTTATTATATTCCTAGCTCCAATTTATGGAGAATTCAGATACGCTCCGGGATTTGCAAAATGAATAATATACAATCTCATTTCAGCATAACATCTCATTATTGCATAACTTGTGAAATTTTTTATTAACTTCATTTTAATAGTAACTATTATATATTTACGTGGTGTGAATTTACCGTGGAAGGGCATTGTAAGAATATCCTCTGCCCCGTATGATCCCGTGGGTTCCTAGAGGCGAAGAGAAACAAATCAGGAGATGGACAGCAGCGTCTTCCTAATAATGACTAAAAATAAAAATAAACTGCGGTTGCCAACCCGCTTGCCAAACGTGGCAACTGTGGCAAATATCAATGAGGCAATCTATGGGAGAGGTCTATGTTCAGCAATTGACTTTAATAGTGACTGTCACGGTGACGGTAACGGTAGTGAGAATAACGTCCATATATATATATATATATATATATATATATATTTCGAATAAAAATTGTCTCTTTTTTATGTTCGTCGCGCGAGCATTCCCAACACATCCAATAACTATTAGCAAAAGACGTCATGAGGATTTATGTCGTATAGCAGTCATCATAGCTGTCGTAACATTTTTTACGAGTCTATTTTTGGAAATATTCGTAGAATATACTTTAGTTTTTTTTTTTATAGAATGTCCTTTGGTTTCATTTAAAAGAGTAAATATAACATTTTTTTAAAACATAAGTAATATTCCATTAACTCCTCAAAGTAAGCTTAAAATGGAGTTGTTCACCACAGTAGGAAAATCACAGATTCGAACCAAAAACTTTCTGAGTTTGGTATCCACATCCTTAACTATTAGGCTGCCATCGCTTCAACCAATATTTGATCAGTGTATCCATTGCAAATGTTAAACCGAGTGGTTAAAATTAGTTTATCGTTAGCTTTCGAAGTTAAAACGTGCAACTGTTGGTAACCACTGGCTCGACCGATAAAGGGAACCACTGTGCATTTCATAAGCAGCTTTACGCTGCTGATCAAATTGCTGAGTGCGTGCGTGTAATGTAGACTCTACGGCGGCTGACCACTAAGTCAGCCCCCGTAGAGTCTACATTACCTGAGGATGCCTCGTGTAGCGGCGAAACACGTGTCGTATTGTCGTCGATGGTGTGTCTTACCTGGAATAGTGGTGTTGGGAGTAGTGGTGCTGGGACTAGTGGTGACGGAGTTAGTGCATGCAATTGAGGGAGGGCGGGAGGTGCTCTTCAATCCAGGTAAGACACATCATTGTATTTATTTAGCGGAAGGTTGCGAAGAAATTTATATTTTTATTTTTTAAGGATAAGGATAAACAACTTACCATCAGGTGGACTGTGTGCTCATTTATCCTCGATTAAGAATAAACAAAAACTAAAAAAACGAATTAACAAAACGCAGATGCGTTGTCACCCCTGAGGACTAAGATGGAATGCCTCGTTTCCAGTAAAAAAGGGTCTCCGGATCCTCTACACTCACCGTACGGAACATAGCAGTATTAAGCTGTTATTTTACGCTGGTATTCTGTGAGAGTGGCTCTGTGGTTCTACCACGTATAAAATTATTTTCGCTAAAGCAATATGAAGATTATTATCTCACATATCGAGTGTCGATAACTTCGACATTCCTGACTGTCGATATCTAGGCGATGATTCATGCGCGATGCCTTTGTTGATAAAATGAGATTACATTACTTATTATTTATGAATAATACGATCTGTGACATTTATGGAGTTAATGTCGACACGGCCTTAAATTTATGGCTTCGAATCTTGATTGAAAAGTTTTTTAACATACTAAGTGTACTTTGAAATTTCTTTTTGACGTAATAGAGCCACGTTGTAACCTTGTAACGGCTGTAGCACAAAATGCTTGAATGGATCTGCTCAACCGGGGAAGGACAATGCTCACACAGAATAGCATCGTAGAATACCAGCATAATGCAGGTGTGTGTTTTAATAGCGAGTAACGAAAACACAAGACCATATTTTAACTATTTTAGGCCAGCGCCTAACTACTATCCTGATGATAAGCTGATGGTAAGTGGCGATGCAGCCGAAGATGGCAAGCCGCACTGACGTAAGCCTATGGAAAAAAAATTTGAAGTGATAATTATTAAATATACAATAAACTTAAAATCTATGTAAATTTTTAAGTCTATTTTATATTTTATGTATTAGATGTCCGTGTTTCATTTATCAATGTACCGTTGAAAGTGAAATACAGCTTTCTTAATACACACCTATTGCAAAAAGAAAAGTTTTTCATTGGATTATAATAATAAGACAAACAACACTCTCAAATGATGTTTTTGTGTGTTTAATAGAAAAAAATAAAAAAATATATAGAAAAAACTCTTTACCCTCTACAAATGCAATGAATGATTTTTTATTCAGTATTAAATAATTATAATCACATTAAAATACATAGTATTTATTGAAAGTATTTTTTTTATTTACCACTGGTTCGGAAAATTCCATTGCCCTGGGAAGAACCAGCTAGAAATTCAGCGGGACTTTTTTTAAAACATTTTTCACTTTGCAATAATTTTGTTTGTACAAATTTAAAGTGAATTTTAATAGGTTCTATTAAAATCATGGTGCCGATCACCTCATTCCCAGGTCCCATCCTCATTTTCATTTATGTATTCTTTGATATTATAATAACTCTTTTTCTATAATTTTTCTTTCATAAAACATTTAAGCTTGTTTATTGACAAATGTACTTTTTCTGCCATTTGCCCTGTTATTTTACTTGTCAGCTCATTAATCATTAAGTAATTAAAACGAAGACCGCTTAACATATTTTGTGTAATCATCACACCGAAACTAATTATGCATTCTTAGATATCGAAATCATTCCGCATATTACCTTGAAACAATCGAATAATCATTCGTCATTTCCGACAAAAATATTAACAACGAGGAAATTTTTATAGTTGTAGTGGTAAGAATTGTAAACTGTGGCCGCGGCTTAAATGTGTAGTGTGAGAGTTATTGTGTTGGAATTGGAATGGCGTTGGAGAGTTCAGAACTGGATAAACCGTTAGACATAGAGTATAGATCGTGATCCATAGACCATGGTTTCGTCATCGCCGCGGGCGCAGGCGCGGTCGCAACATGACGTTGACCCAGAAAGAATAAAGGCTTATTCGGTAAGTTCTTTTTTGTTTTGTTCATAACAGCCTTTCGAATGTTGTGATGCTTATGTTGTTTTTTTTTTATATGTATACTAATGATCCATAACTACTTCGCACGGTTGATTTCTAGATCTCGACAATAGCACCATCTACCGAATTCAACCATAGATAAGAACACCCCAAGAACCCTATAAGTTTTTTTATCAAATTTTTTATACAACATGTACCGAAAATCCTTTAGTTCCCGTTTTCAAACGTGTAGAAATAACTTTACTTTTCAATATTTACAAATAATTTTGATTTTTAGCTTTCTACAGTAAACGTTATTAAAGTTTTATGTAGTTCTACTCACTTCAGCTCGTTTTATTGTAATAACCTGGCTATTAAGTTGGGTTTATAACATAGTTAAATAATCTCTATGCTCGAAAACGGCTTTTGATAAATTTTTGAGTGCGTTAGAGTGTTTTCTGGATTGTTTTTATTCACAATTGCGCTGTTGTCGAGATTAAGAAATCACCCGTGCGAAGCCAGGGCGGATCCCTAGTTATTATTAAATTGAAATGTTAATACGTATACCATAGACGGAAACTCTGAGATTATTAGTCTATGTTTAATCCCTAACAGTTTTGGACTTAATAAACTAAAACAGTAAGTGTCGTGCACACCTCATTTTTTACTCTGCCTATATGTTGAACTCAGATACAAAACGATGACGAATAAAATCGAAAGTACAAACTGGATTTTGCTTGCTCAAGTCCGATCGCTTCTGTATTCTTACCATGTACTACTTTTGCGTCACGTAATATCATCACGCTATTACGTACTTAAGTACGTTGTTGTAGAGTATATAATTTTAGAAGTATATTCAGCTTTATAATACCATTTTTATAATAAATATAGATTATGGACATAATACTATGGTGCTGAAATTTAGTTCTTAGCTGTGAATTAAACGCTACAACCTTTGATGTAGCGTGGGCTATTGAATACAACATAATCGGAGTTAATTTGATGGATCTACTCTCTAATTATAACCAAAATAGCCACGGAAGCTGCCCAACTGAAATAAGATTATTGAATCTAAAAGTACTACCTCCTGAGGCTCTACTTCGAAGTAATAATATCGCAAACCCAATCAATTATAGGGAAGCAATTTTGTCTGCACATAGATAAATGTTAATATTTACAGGTCACAACATCTAACAATCAGGTGGACTGTATGCACGTGTGTCAGCTTTTTTCCTTAAAAAAAACTTTCGAATATTGCGTAAGCATTACCTTGTGGCAAATCATAAAATAAATTACAGATGTAAAAATTTATTACCTAATCGATTTTAGCTAATCTTTAATGAAACGGGGTTTTTAAAATCGACTGAATGTGGAATATATTTTATTTATCGTTAAACGAATGTTCCATAGACAAGCACAAAACTTCCACTCTTGAAACAACAATTGGATAATCCTCGTACTCCTAAACTAGACTCAGTTGTACGTCGTGACCTTACTATACAAACAATTTAGCACCTCGATATACCGAGTGTTAAACTGGCACCGGTAGTTGAGCCTATAGAGGTATTTCGCTCCGCTCCAGTTGCTTTTCCCAAACAATACGATAAAATCGTATAAACTGACATGTGTAGATAGACCGAGATATTTCTAACTGATGGCAATCTGTCGCCACTGTTAAACGCATGTGAAGCGCGTCAAAAGGCGTTAGAACAATAAGACGCCCTATATATGAAAATGGGTCATATTCCACCATGTCGTACAGGCAATTTTAAGCTGTTATCACACATACATAAATAACAGAGTTTTAACGCGAATTCGACAATCGTCGGATTGTTGCACCTGTTTTATCGTTTAAACAACAGTGGTTTGTAGTTGATGTTGATACCTAAGTGATGCCATTTTGTGTAATTGGTGGTGGTGGTAGTTGGTCCTTCCCCGGTCGAGCCGATCCATTCGTGCTACAACTATACTACTAATACAACTGCAGCATGGCTCTACCACGTAAAGATCAAAAAATCTCAAGTTATTTTGTTCACTTAGGTGCCTTAAGAACTGGAGTTACTATCGTCGATTGTCCGATGGGTCGGGATGTCGTCAAAATCTCCCAAAAACTTCGATGCGACGTGTCAGCATATAGTGAAGAAAAAATTTATAAAAACGAAAATCCCGAATGAAATGAAGACATGGCTTAATGGACGAGCATTCAAGCCAAAAATCTTAATAATACATATATACATAAATAACATACATATACTTAAGCCCATAAATCATATTCAATTTGGGATAATTTCGTATTTTGGGAAAATTCGAAAAGCTTTTAGCTTTAATTACTCATAATTTCAAAAACCGGAATAACGGTATATCATTATTTATATATTTGTACTTAAGTTTAAAAATTGCCTACTCTTTGAAAAATAACCCTGTATACATATTACTAGCGTAAGGACCGGGCCGACCGAACAACTAAAACGGACCAGTGCGCTGTCCCTAAAATTAAAGTTTAGGGCCAACGCGAATCGTTCGACAGTGGTGCGCGCGCAGGACAGATTTGCCTGTCATAAATAATATGTCTAGTTGCATGGTAACAGAATGCAAAAATTACGAAACAAAGATTAAAAAAAAAACATGGGATATCGTATCATCGTTAAATAACCTTATATTAATTTTGTTACAATTAAATTATTATATAAACGCATTTTTAAAGTTTTATTTTACAATTAGCTTAGTTACGTTACCAAGATTAGGCCAGGGCTGGATTCAGACCCTCAAAAATATTGTACATGAAAATTAAAATTATACTATTTAAACAAAAAATATATTTTTGTTTAAATAGTATAATTTTTCCACGTTTTACGTTTCATGTTTCTTTTTTTCCATGTGTCGGGATTTTGGCGTCACGCTTATAATTTATCTATACGTTTCGTTTATTGACGGTTTTGTTTTTATTTTTGTTTAAATTTTGTCTAAAGAACTTAGTGTAAGTTAAATTTTGAATATTGGTACCTAATATATTTTATATTCAATTAGGGTAAAACGAAAAGAGTACAAAAGAAACCATATCTGCTTAATTGAATCTGAAAATCTGATTCATAAAATATTTTGAAATTCAGTTTTCAAACCGATTGCTTCTGGAGCATTATCTTGGTAGCCCCTAATTAAAGTTGTATCAAGGATGCAACATAAATGCATTGATCGAGCATCAATTGACCAGAAAGGGAGCTAATTTTAATTTTATTAAAAAAACGCGGTACTCATGTACAATACAAAAATACCAAAAAACAAGTCACCAAACCCCGGGCCATACCCCAACCCCCCCCCACCACCAGCCCCGAACCCCCCCTCTATATCGTGGGGTTAATATTAAAATTTAAAAGGACCCAGTAATAATACAAGTCGACCTTTAGGTAAAATTATGGTATTTTCGCTTTGTATTATTACGATACTATATACTACAAACTATGAAATAATTATACAATTAGGATAATTATACTACGAAATCCGACCCTGGTTACGTCGTGTTTTGATATGACGTTTTTATTATGACAGAAACGCTACTTTTTCTTCTATGAAAAAGTTATGAATAAAATATTTAGAAGGGCCTATCCTTCCTTTTGAAATCATTGGTATACATGCCCTATGACGTGACCTAATATAATTGGACAAACCGAGAATTTTCCGCAAAATAATCTAAGGATATCGCGAAAGCACGGATAATTAGATGATTGGTCGAATCTGTTCTAAAACCGAATTAGCACGCCTCGACTCCACGTAGTGTTGTCTGCCCTACCCCTAGGGTTTTTGTAAAGCCGTAAGCGCCGAGGAAGAGCTCACCTCCGCAGCCTCCAGCCTTAGCCGCTACGGCTCTCACGGGTACTTGCAATTTGCTACGCAAGGGCGAAGAGGCTGCAGGTGTTCCAGCGCCGAAGCTGTTATGGAATTAACTTTGGGTTGATATTCCTGTGTAAAAAGTGAGGTTAACATTTTATAGCAAATAAACCAATATCAAGCCAATATTTAATATATTCAGAGTTACGAAACCCCTAATTTTTTTTCGGTAAGATTGAGAAATGTCATAGTCATTGTCTAATTATCCGTGTTTTCGTCATATTCCTAGATTTTTGCGGAAAATTCGGTTTATCTAATTATCCTACGACATATACATAGGTAGGATATACCCATCCATCTATTAGAGTTATGAAAGTCCACAATTGAATATAGGCCTCCCCGTAGATCGCATTATTGGGGGGGGGGGGGGGTTGCCATAGTTGTTACGCTTGGCAGGCGGATTGGCAACCCCAGATATTTATAATTTCGAGTTGTTATCAGAAAGATGCGTGTATATAGGTTATATACAGTCTTCTATGCTTGATCTCGGCACATCCCTCTTGCTTATGTTACATCCATATATCTACGTATACATGCTTGTCGGTTAAGGGTACTCTTAATTTGATCAAAAATCAACATCCCGACATGCATAAATGGGTGTGCAAGTGTGATTCCTCTTCTAGATATGTGCTAGCGTGTTTTAGGAGGATTCACCTTAATCATCACGGTCCTCATCATCATCATCCTTTGACGATGTTGTTATTCTTCCTTGGATCTCTTACTTATTAATACAGTATAAGTGAAATATTTTTCCCACAGCTCCATGGAGCAGTGGCTTAATATTGAGTTGCGCCGCCTAGGGCCGCGACTTCGAATCCCAATCGAAACAAGCATTTGTATAGCATACAAATAATTTTTCCGCGTCTGGACTTTTGTGCTTGTGCAATTTATGTATCTAAACTGCCAACATGATAAAGGAGAAAATCCTATTATGGTAGTCATTTTCTTGTTTATTAAAAAAAACATTTCCTAGCGTAGGTGCCATAAGAAATTACGATTATAGGAAATGCTAGAAAAGGCTTAAATATTCAGTATTTTACGTCTAGTGTATACGAGTTGGTTAAACCGCCATCTATCGTAAACTGTGTAATCTTTTCGGCATTGCCCGTATTCATCTCTTA